CCCCCAGCACCGCCGCCTGTTTATTTGGTAGGTTCCAGCCAGCCCAAGAGCCAAGGGTGAGTGGGTGTTGTCTGTGTGGGTGCCTCTTTCAAAACCCCCTTCTGGCCAGACCTGTCTCCTCTGCTCCATTCATCACCACCCTCTCTAATCCGAGCATCTCTCTCAACCCACCGTCGATATCTTGTGTGTGCTCTGCATCTTGCATCTCCCGTCCATCTGCCTTTTCCCATTCTTTTCTTTCCAAATACCCCCCCGTACCGTCCACGACTCTACATATCCCCCCCCCTTTTTCAAATTAAACCATCCATTTTCCACATTTCGCCATGGCTGAGATCCGCCGAAAGCTCGTCATTGTTGGCGATGGTGCCTGCGGTAAAACCTGTCTGCTGATGTGAGTCTCGCTGCCCGACATCCTCGACCTCTTCCATCCAGCCTCAACCCGATTGCCTTCTATCTCCATCGTCTGCTTCGTTTGCGAGTCGGCCTTTCTGCTCGTCTTCAATCCGACCGCGTGACCGCTTCCCGTCACCATTCCAGACCCCCTCCTCCTCCACCCCCCTTTTATCACGACGACACAGACGACGACGGCGAACATCATCTATCTTCTGGGAGGGGGGAGACCTGTCCTCCCCCGCCCCTCTCCATCATATGTTTTCATCATGCTGACAACCTTCGCAGTGTCTTCAGCAAGGGTACCTTCCCCGAGGTAAGATGGCTTCAGGCCTTCCCCTTAGCCGCCCCAGCCTTGTCCATCGCCCGCTTGTTTTTCTTTACCCTCTTCGGCCTCACACCCGACTTTCAACAGAAATGACCAACTTGACATGTTTCGACCCCTACGTCCCATCTGTCATCACGTCGTCGCTTTTCCACACAATGGGCCCTTGAATCATATCTAGCCCAGAAACCCTGGAGCATTCAGACTGACATTGTTACGCGATAACCAGGTCTACGTCCCCACCGTCTTCGAGAACTACGTGGCCGATGTCGAGGTCGACGGCAAGCACGTTGAGCTGGCTCTTTGGGATACTGCTGGCCAGGAGGACTACGACCGTCTCCGTCCCCTCTCCTACCCCGACTCTCACGTCATCCTGATCTGCTTCGCTGTCGACTCGCCCGACTCCCTGGACAACGTTCAGGAGAAGGTAAGCTAGGATTGCCCGCATCCCGAGGAAACGATCAGAGGCAGAAAACAGAAGACATGCCTGTGGGGGAGATTGAATGAGAAGAGAGAAAAACGCGCCAAGTTGGCGTATAGCTTTGCTGACACTGTTTTCCTGCACGATAGTGGATCTCCGAAGTCCTCCACTTCTGCCAGGGCCTCCCCATCATCCTTGTTGGCTGCAAGAAGGATCTTCGCTACGACCAGAAGACGATTGAGGAGCTCCGCAAGACCAGCCAGAAGCCCGTCTCCCCTGAGGAGGTGAGTGAATCGTCTCGGCCCAGCTGCTTTCCGCCGCTGGCGCTCCCCCCCCAACCAACCAACCCCCTCCCTCTTGGCTCGATCAACATATGGCTAGAGAACATTTCCTGACTGTTATCGACGTACAGGGTGAGGAGATCCGCAAGAAGATTGGCGCCTACAAGTACCTCGAGTGCTCTGCCAGGACCAACGAGGGTGTCCGCGAGGTGTTTGAGCACGCTACCCGCGCCGCTCTCCTGTCCCGCAGCAGCCGCAAGAAGGACAAGAAGTGCCTGGTCCTGTAAGTGGCCAGGCAGTACTCTCTCGACGCATACGGTCACCCCATGTCTACCGAGTTCCAAATCTCTCAAGGGACAAGACACAGTACAGCTCGGACCTGGCTAGGACGCGACCGTCGGAACTGCGCGGTCTAGGTGCCATGACGGTGCAGTAATCCGTGTCCAGGCTGTCCGAGTTGGGGGTTTCGATATCGTGCTTGTCCCGCACTGAGACCGGGTCTTGCCATTGCGCTCAGACCGATGTGGGCTGTCTGCTGTCTGCCCAGAGTTGATGGGCCTTGGTTGCCAGGGGGGGTTTTTTTTCCTTCCCCGGGTACATGCATGTTTAGGGAGAGGTTTCTATTTTGGCCAAACGGGGCCCGGCCAACAACGCCCATGTGGCCTTCTCGACGAATGCAAGCAGGCAAGCGGGACTTGTTTTCTATGTATCTCTGTGTTGCGTACAGACAGGGGAGAGAGTTTTGGGAGAGGGAAGGAAAGAGGGGGTGGGGTGTGTGTGTGTGTGATGGGACCTTATCTTTGGAACATGTGCTCCTTGTTTTTTACCTTATTTTTTTTCCTTTTCCCGTTACCCGGAGAGGAGATGCTCCAAGTTTTGGGGTGTGGAAAGGTGCCCCGAGAATGGCGGAGGAGGAAGGTTCTCGGGAGACCAACGGTCCCACCAAGGCCTACGAGGGGGAAGAAGAGACTGGGAGAAGGTGGTCTTTTGGGCTCCTGTTTTATTTTGTGCGTTTTTTTGTGAGATGGGGATAGGTCTCATAAACTTTATTTCCTTGTCTACTGGACTCTGGCCGAGTCTCGAGTGAGTATCAGTTGAGTGAATGTATCAATCAGGTTGATGTATATCATCACAATATATATCAGCTTGATGGTAAAGCTTCGGTCACTGTTGACATTCAGGACAGGTTTAGCTTGGGTGTCAGGTCCAGTATAATAGTCGTAATATCAATAAGTATCATCAGCGGTATCGTCAGCAGTGTAGCGGTAGCCGTTGGTTGACTTTTGTTTCATTTCATTCGACTCGTAACTCTTTGTGTGTGGATTCGCGCACACAGACACATGCTTCCTCGGTCTTGTGGTGCCCCTCTCCCCCCCCCTCTTCCCCTGTCTTCTGTCATCAATTCACCTACACTCTCTCTCTGTCTGCTCTGTGAATAAATTCCAAAGATCGACCGTGGTGGCTTTATCTACCGTGTTGGCGTGATATATTGATGCCCCGGGGTTTTCTTCTTCTTTCTCTTCTCACATGGGGCAAGTCTATTCCAAGATGGGTAGGATGAAGTATTAGAAAAGCAAGGACAACATCAACACCGACAACGAATCCTTTCCGGGGAAAGGGGGGGGAAGGGGGGGGGAGGGGGGGAGTGACCAAAAAATCGAGTATAGATGGGTATGGATAGCTGGGGAGGGCCAAGATTAGAGGGAGAGAGAGAGGGAGAGAGACTTACAGCTCCGCAACTCCCGCAAGTCTTGGTGCCACTGTCGATGGAGGAGCTGCACTTGGGGCAGGTGGCGTGGTTGTAGTTGATGAGTTCCATTTTTCTCTCTGGGAGGGGATGGGTTTCAAAGGAAGAGTTTTCTTCTCTTTTCTTCTTCTCTTTGTCGTATATCTGTCCTTCTCTTGGGAGGGGGGATGGAAATGGAAAAGGAAAAGAAGAGGAAGAGGAAGTTGGTTATGGAGAAGAGGGGAAAGAAGAAGGAGAGAAGAGGGGGTTCTGATTGCGCTCTCTCTCTCACTCTCTTCTCACTCTCCCTCACACACACACACCTTCTCTCTCTGCTTGCTCTCTCTCTCTGTGCTCTGCCCCTCCCGCCTTCTGTCTGATAGAACGGGGTCTAAAGCGGGGCTTCAAGAACAGATCTGAATTTGCTGTAGCACTACAACGGTGACACAACCACGAGGTCCACCTATCTGGGAGGGTAGAGATGACGGGTATTATTATATGCGTATTCGAGGTATCTGGATTTCGTAGTCACACTCTTTGTGTGTTTCCACTACACGATTACCAAAGAGAAGACGAGATGGTTATACATGTAAAGGGAAAGTCCAAGGTTTGATAACAAATAACAAGAAAAACCATATGCAGGTAACTGACATGACGAGAGTAAGGAGACGAAAAATAAAAAATAAAAGAGGAAAAATAAAAACATGTCTATGTGTACAGATGGGTAAAGAAAGATGATACAAGGACACTGGTCTATCTGTTTATTCTTGCATGAATAAAAATGTACATTGCGGGTCTGGATGAGATCTGCTTTTTTCTCTCTCTGTTTCTTCCTCAAAACATGTGTCGTTCTCAACACTGAGCTGTCTCTTGGTTACCTGCAAGGAGAATAATTGATATTCAGTCAGAAAAAGAAGGTATTTATTTTTTTGGTTTAATTTTTTTTTTTTTTTGGTTTGTTTTTTTGTGTTGATCGTCAAAATCAGAGGCATCTCAATCAGATGATATAAAACAGATGAGGAGCAGAACAAGATGGAAGGCAAAGATGAGAGACGAAGATGACCCACCAGAGATGATACGAGAGACGGCCTGGAAGACGGAGATGACCATGACGGCGCAGCCAAAGGCTACGACGCCCCAGGCAAGATAGGTCCTCCAGGTGCGGGTGGTGAGCTTGATGTAGCAGAGGGGCGGCATGACGTAAGCCATGGCGACGGCGCTGGTGGCGCCGACGAGCTCGAAGACGGCGCCGAGGTCGCAGGTGAGCAGGCTGATGACGGTGGCGCCGGCCATGAGCCCGGTGCTGATGGCGACGTGGCGGCGCAGGTCAAAGGGCGCGTCGGGCCAGAAGTACGTCTCCATGACCTCGCGGCAGACAAAGGCCTCGAGCGGCATCGTCGTCAGCATGTTGAGGCCGAAGCACAGCCGGGCCACGTTGACCATGACGTTGTCGGCCGGGAAGTTGTTGAGCACGTTGCCCAGCGTACGATCGCCGAAGACGAGGAACCCGGCCAGCGCGAGCGTGAGGCAGGCCACCGTCGATACGCCGACGGAGTAGTGCGTCACCCGGGAGAAGTTGTCTATCGTGGGGGTCTTGAGGGATCCGTAAATGAGGAGGGAGTTGTGGTGGCATACAAATGCTGTTTTTTTTTTTTTTGGTGGTGGTTTTAGAAACCTTTTCATCTTCCGGGGAGGAGGGACTATAGGCAATGGAAAAAGTAGAGGGGAGGGAGTGGTTGAGACTCACCAAATGAAATGACTCCGATGGCTTGAAAAACTCCGGAATTGACAGTCAGAGTGGGGAGGTCGAAGCTGCCCCTCTCCGAGGAGGGTACCATGACACCCTGCGTGACGACTGTGACGACGATGACGCCCATGCCCACGAGGGCGAGGGTGCTCGCCTTGGCGAGTTTGGAGATGTCCCGGTACAGGGTGAGGGGGTAGCTGACGCCCATGCAGAAGAAGGCGATGGCGACCCGCCTGTCGGCGATGAGGCCGACGACGGGCCAGGATGGCAGGTCGGGGGCCACGGCAACCATGACGTGGGGGATGGTGTCGCCGACGATGACGCCAAAGGCCACCATGCCGCCAAAGGCGAAGATCCACTGCGCCAGGCTGATGGCAATCAGGCCAGGGCGGCCGAAGCAGTGCTCGACGGTGCCCTGGAAGCTGCTCGTGCCGCTGAGCTTGCTGTTGATGACGATGAGGCATATCGTCCAGTCGATGAGGAACGTGAGCCCCACGAGGAGGCCGGTGCCCGCCAGCAGGCCGGCCTGCCGCATCGCGTACGGCTGCCCGATGATGCCGGCGCCGATGATGGAGTTGGCCATGTTCATGAAGGCGGACCGCAGACCCGACTTGGGCCGGCGCATCTGCTCCTCTGCCCGGTTTGTGGCATCGCCGTCATCGCCATCGTCCCCGGACCCGGACCCGGACCGGCGGCGCTGCTCCATATAATTGGCCATGGCCACGCTGGGAGCCTCCATGTCCGTCAGGAGGGGCATGCGGTGATGCGACTCGTCGTAGTCGTCCATCTCGAACCCCGACGTCGACGAGGACGTGGAGTCGCGCGCCGGTCCGCTGCTCACGCCCACCACCTCGGGCGTCAGGTCAAAGCGGACGCGGTGCGCAGACCGGGGCGTAGGGGCCGCATCTTCATGGTCGAACAGGATGTTGCTGTTGCTGTTGCTCCTGCTGCTGCGGCTGTTGTTGTTGTTCTTGCTGCCGCCGGTCTTGATTGCAGATCGCATCGGCTGCAGCTCCTCCTCGCCTGCGAGCAGGCCACGGTCTTCGCCGTGTGTCACGTCATCAGGCTCATGGGCCATAGTACTTTAGGAGGAGGAGAAGAGAGAGAGAGAGAGAGAGAGAGAGAGAGAGAGAGAGAGCGGGGGAGGGAGGGAGGGAGAGAGAGAGATGGCTCAGAGACTTTCAATGACTGAGCATCTTCTTGCCAGACCCTGCTAGGCCGATCTTCTCGAGAGGTACGATTTAGGGGAGGAGGGAAGCGGCTAGTCGGTCGTTCGGGCTGTGTCGGCACAAGCGAGAGGTTCGTATCGTGGTGTGCGTGTGGAGGTGGTCTGCCCCTTGTCGCTGAAGAAGGTAAGGGGAAAGGGAGGAAGAGATGAAAGGAGAGTGGGCGTGGCTCTCTTCGTGCTTGTCGCAGAGCTCGTTGAAACCTGTGAGAGACGTGGTTTATTGAGGCTCATTCAAAGTCGGGCTTGGCGTGGGGATTCGTTACAGGATTATGTCCTACTGTTCCTACTGAATACTGTAATACTGCAATACTGCCACGGTAGTAATAATATTATGTGCTAGCAGCTACAGGTTAATCCTGGTGGTGGGTAATAAACATTATGGCAGTACGGAGTCATTCTACTCCCGACTCTAGTCCTTAGATATATTATAAGTCTTACGTAAGCAACCAGTCCACAGTCTAGTGATGTTAGTGACTGAGCTCTCTTCTTTCATTTTTTTTTTGGACACATCTGTACAGATTAGTATCTTAGCCAATGAGTTCGTACAATATCAATCCAAGATCCATCGTCTCCAACGTCCCGTCAACTGATGTCACTGCATGCTATCTATCATACTGCCAGGTGCATATCGCGCCGTGCATTGTACCTGTATCACGTCGTCGACCTCGCGAGAGAGATTCTCTCGATAAGGAAGCTCGGCAAGTCGTACGCACCCGTCTACGTCCTGCTCACCCGAGGAGGTTTCGCTGCACGAGCTCTCTGCTGATATCGCATGAAACATCAAAGCCACAGTCAAGATCGCCAACCCCGATGCTGGCAGCAGATCGTGAAAGCACCCCTCTGTCCCGCAATGCCGTGTATCTTGCGGATTTTTCTCTCGGCCTTGCGGCGCGTCAGGTGTCGATTGCTTTGATTTGAACCTTTGATCCCACCCATGCCGAGGCCACTCCGTCGATGGCCTCTCGTATCGACAGATCCATCTGCCGAACCGTAGTATTGCCCCGCGAAGCGACGAGCGACGCGACTGCGGCATCCCTAGATCCTCATCGAAAAGACCTCTGCCGAGACGGTTGCCCTTGCTGACCTGCTGCCTCCTCATTCTTCTGTGTGATGTGCCCGCTTGAATGGGTGAGGTGCCCAAGCTGCGCGATGCTAGAGGCCGATGGTGCTTAATGTCACGGCGCGTGTGAGCTTCTCTGATGGTTTACCCTCGGTACGCAAGCTTTACTTTTCTTTTTTCAGGCTCGCAGTCTGCTAGGCGGCCTGTTGGCCTTGGCTGTTGCCGAGATGGCCCGTCCTATCTTCGACATCGTTCTGCAGTACATGTCGGCAAGGTGTGAACGGCCGCTCGACAGGGCCAGACTCACGTGCGTTGCACCACGCACAGCTTACAGCTGAATTCTAGACCTCTTCTCTCCTCTCTCTCCCGGCCGCCGCAGAGATACCGTTGTTTGCCTCGGTGCTACCGCCGATCGACAGGTGGCTGCTTCAAGGGAAGAAGCAGGGCCCCATGGCCGCCAGCTTGACGGCGGCTCCTCTTCTGCTGCATGGTCATCCTTGGCCTCGCTCTTTTCCAAAGAGCACCTGTCTTTACTGTTTACGGCCGTGGCGGTATTGGAGGGCATCACCTCTATTGCATCCTCTCCTCTAACCAGGGTTCTCACTTTCAGCTAGTCTCGATATCGGAGGTATGGGACTGTCACTTCCATTCATCGTCGCCCGCATATTTCTATGCCATGGCTGGGCCTGCCCCTTGTACATTGACGAGAGCCGAGTCGGACTCTGAGGAATAGGTGGACAGGTACCAAGTTTATGGAGGGGTGCGAAGAGGAAGAAGAGCAGTGCAAATCACATGCGCTGTACAGATAAGAAAGCATGCTGTCTTCGAACATGAGTAGAATCAGGCAGTGTTGTCTCGTGCCCTACTCCCCATTGTTTGCTGACTTTCTTCGAATCCTGTTTGCTCTGGCTCCTTGCCGTTCCTGATCGCATGGAGGATATTGGCTAGGCCAGTAATCTGCATGACTTGCAAAACTTGGTGCATGGCCACGGTAGATGGCATCCATGCATCATGATGATACTGTGGAGAGTGAGGCCAGATGCTGACCTACTTACACATGGTGAAGAGAGTTCTCTCGGCAAGCAGCAAAGAAACCAAGACAGAAGGGGGGGGAAGGAAGAGAAAAAAAAGAGCACTGTGTTCAGAGGATCGTCGTCACCAAGCCTGCGTCGACCACCAAAGTAGGCTTAGGGGTTTAGGGTCTAGGGTTATTTAGGTAGCTATCGCCTTCGCATGTGAATCGCCATTCGTGGTCGCGATCGGCAGAATACATGGAAATGCACAGTCATATATTTCTGACCCCGCCTCAGCTGCAGGTCATCATCTTCGACTTCAGGACTTCACGTTGAACTCTGATAGCAGCTGCCTTGAGATGATACACATCGAGGGTTGACCAGACCCAAGGCTGACATTGGTATTGCCGGATACTGTTGGTAAACGAAGGTGATCATGAACTGATCGGAATGTGTTCTATATAAAGCAATAGAAGCAGAGTCTACAGTCACATTCCAGGGCGGCCTTGCCCTGATGGCGAATAGTGACGAACAGTGCCGCGACAGATACACTTGGATGTGATTGACGGTAGAAGATTACTAGTAGCTAGTGTCAGACCTCGTGATGCTGTATAGACGGATATAGATATCAGACAAGAGATGTGTTTTGGAATCTTGAAGGGGATAGCAACCAAGAAGTTAGAGTCAGTCTCGAAGACAGCTTGGAGATGCAAATACTCCCTTGGATCTACTACATTGCTGAGACTTCTTTGGTGAACCGTCAACGTGGCCGCCACAGCAATTGAGACTTATACTGCTGGCACCTATGACCACCGTGCCGTGGATGCCATGGTCGACATCCGACGTGGTCGCGAAGCGCTTCGCCGAAGTCCGATGGACTTGAGATGACAAAGTCAAGGATCCGGTATGCTGAACACAGTACATGCTTGTATATATATAATTCCAAAGTATCTAACTCCTACGCAATCAGGGCTGTTCTCGTCAAACACAATATCCACCATGTCTTTGGTATCGGCCTTCCCCGCCGACACCACGATCTTGCACCTGACGAGAGGATTGTCGAGATCGGCCCCGTGTCCCCCCCCCCCCCCCCCCCCCCCCCCCCCTCCCCGCTGGGCCGTTCCTGATGGGGATACCATGACTGGCGATTCTGTTCTCCCCCATTGCTCGGCGCGTCTCTGACGGCGAGTTGCGCCCTGCGGAGTACCGCTCCGTGCCCGAGAGAGATGTTCCCGATGTCGAGAGCCCTGTCTTCCCTGCCGGCTCTTCCCGAGAGCTCGTCGCCGTTCTAGAGGAGACAGTCGTGGGTGATATCCCCGGTGTCGACACCGTCGAGCACAACGATGAGGAGGGAGAGTCCATGGAAATCACCTGGGGACGCAGCAGCTGTCGTCATCCCCTCAACCGGCACGACTAGAAATGTGGTTAACGGGCTACAGGCACGCGAGACCTTCCAGGCAACGTGGACTTTTCCCTTCGAGCCGAGTGACATCGCTCATGACGGAGTCCAGACGTGCCATGGCGTCTACATCGGCAGCGGCCACGCCCCCCGTCCTCTCTAACGATGGGGTGAAGCAGTGACACCGCGTCTACATCGGCAGCGGCCATGCTCCTCACACACTGCAAAGGCCAAGATTGACAGTTTACCGAGTCGGGCAGCTTGGCTTTCTTTTTGCTAGGGGGCACTTGCCATGGTAAATCCGTTCATGGCTTAGGTAAGCGGGACTCGATTATAATAACGTCAGATCCGTCCCTTCTGGCATAGAAGAGCATCGATCAACAAGAAAACAATCAACCATCGGCATACCACAAGACATACTAAAAAGAGACGAGCATACCTCTTTTTGTGTGGCACTGCCTGCACTCGTATCAGCAGCCCGCGCGTTTGAACATGGGGGCTATTTCTGTTCCTGTGCCCCGCTACAGCCTCAAACCGGCCCACAGTCAGCATCAACCGTGAGCTGCGTCAGCGATGCCTCTACCGGGCCAGCAGTTCGTGGCTGTCGCAGCGACTCTGATTTCACATTGGCCTTTGAGGATGCCTTCCCCACTCCTTTACCGTCCCTGGCGTTCACCGGTCTCTGCTCCCGTCGTCTTATCACGCTCCGGCGCTGCCACATCATGGTTGGCGGCGTTCGGCTCCGAGCGACCAGACTGGTAATGAATGCTCTGTAGCTCGTCTCATGTTTCGCCTGCATCGTGCGTGTGTCGACAGAGCCGCCCGTTCATCTCTAGCGTTGACAGATAGTTGCTTGCCACAAATCTACGTGATGCTCAGTCCTTCTCTCGCAGTCATCATATCTGTACAGACATCGCACGCGGCTGTCCAAGGCCGCCTCTCTCCTGCTGCAGCGTCTCTCGGCTTCATTGCCGCCTCGGCTCTGGTGCTGCTGCCATATCAGGAGCATGGGAGGTCGCCCAGACCATCCAACCTCACAGTGAGCTACCCCGCCATCACCTGCCTTTTCGACGTGGCCAAGACGCGAATCCCATCTATGGCTGCTGTTCGACGGGCCATCACCTCTGGCAGCCATCTCAACAGCCATGGTGGCTCTGAAAGTAGCCGTGATGCTTGTCGAATCGCAGAAGAAGACGGCATGGCTCACTTGGAGCGACACGGGAGAGCATAGTGTCGAGGAGGAGAGTGGAATCTTTGGCCTCGGTGTATTTTACTGGCTCCACAGACTGTTCATAAATGGCCATCGAACTAGTCTGTCCACCGAAACAGTTTTCCCGCTGGACCAGACCATCTCAGCACCCGTTCTCGCACCTGAGCTCGCCAGGAGACTTCGGATGTCGTCGTGGAGGGGGCGCGGATGGGGACTGACCAAGGTGCTGTTTTCCACGCTGGCTCCGCCGCTGTTGCCATCTCTCGTCCCTCGATTGGCTCTGCTCGCTGCCAGCATGTGCCCGTCGTCTCTTACCGATGGCTCTCCTAGACTTCCTGCAAGGAGACAGGCGTTCAGAAAAGAGCCACGGCCGCAGCCTCATCGGTGCTACAATTTTGTCGTACGGTCTCCTTGCTTTGTCGACGGTTCTGTATGGATACTTCCAGGAGCGTTTTGTCATCATGGTGCGCGGATGCCTCATCGCCGCCATGTATGATCAGACAGTCCAGCTCGAGCTCGCCTCGTCAACAGATCCTGGACTTCTCACTTTAATGAGCACCGATGTCAGCCGCTTGATGGCGGGCTTGTTAGACATCCACGAGTATCGGGGCAGTTCCATCCAGGTCGGCCTATCGTCTCGGCGGCTACAGAAGAAGCTGGGGGAAGCCTTCGTCGCACCCCTCGTCGTGGCTGTGCTGACTTTCCTGGCCATGTTCTTCTTGAGCAGGGTGATCGATCGTCGCCAGAGGGCTTGGATGGAAGCCATAGGTATCCGCGTGGGGATCATGGCCACCGCAATCTCCCAGATGAAGCTCATCAGAATGTCGGGAATAGATGCCCCCCATCAAGAAGAGGATTCAGCAGCTGCGCGTTGCAGAGGTCGGAGTCGGTGAGCGTCGGCGCATGCTGGCCGTCGCGGGAGCTGCTATCTCGCAGGTTCCGTTGCTCATATCCCCTGTCTTGGCATCCGCCACCACCATCAAGGTGCTGGACACCGCATCTCATCTTCGTATCGATATCTCACCTCACTCTCCTTGCTGCCCCGTTGCTGGTGCTCTTCCCGAAGGTGCCCCAGCTTCTCAGCGCATTCACTTCCCTTCGGCGCGTCCAGGAATTCCTGGAGCGCGGCGCCAGGAACGACTATCGCATCTCGCATAGCGACAGCAGGTTTGCAGGCATGGGAATCGAGACGCACAACGATGTCGACACGAACGTCTTTGGCGGAAGCAGAACCAGAGACTCCGGTATCAGCATCTGTGATGGGGGAATTTGGATGGTCTCAAGACACCCCGGTTCTCAGAGACGTCGGCATTTCCATCCCGGCCTCCTGCGTTGCAGCTGCCATTGGACCTGTTGGAAGTGGGAAGACGACCGTTTGCGGATACATCCTCGGCGAGTTACCCTCTGCCCGTGGATTTGCCAATCTCTCGACAAACTCGTTTCCTCTGTAGGAGGAAAAGCACGGACGGCACCGGGGATTCATCTTCTTTGCAAGGCCTGACGACTGCATCTCTCGGGACCGACCCAAGGCTGACCGCATATGCCCCCTGTTCTGACTCTTGAGTGAGCCCGTCCGCTCCCCCCAGAGTCCAACCTGCTAAGCGGCGGATTAGTAGTTGGATCGGTGATGGCCAGCGAATACCTGCCGCTGTACGTCTTCTTTTATATATATATATATGTATGCACGTATATATGTATATTCTACCTCTCATGTGCGGTATACGATATAGTCTCTATTCGCACCGCAACCTCCTACATACGACCATAGCTAGCGGAGAATACGGGGTCCCGTCCGCTCCCCCAGAGTCAAACCGCTAAGCGGTGGATTAGTAGTTGGGTCGGTGACGACCAGCGAATACCTACTGTTGTATGTTTCTTCTTCTTTTTTTTTTCTTTTCGTTTCTTCGGTTTTTAGTATTACTCGCATTGTTTACCTACTATATCAATCTAATAATGTGTTGGCTCATCACATCCATTACGATTCTTATGTCGAGTACGATCGGCTCTTGTTTCGTGTCAAGACCCGTTGTGCGACACTTCTCTCTCCCTTCACGCCTTTCCTTACTTCATCGCCACACACTCACTTGCAGACACTCATAGGCAACAATGCGATCACCTCTGGCGATCACCTCTGATCACCCAGCCATCATAGTGAGCAGGATCCGTGGCCATTGCCGGACCTCAGAGATGACCTAGTATATGGTCAACCCAAACCCAAACCCTCCAGCCCCAAAGCCACCGCAAGAAACCCCCGACGCATTCCACAAGATTGCAGACAAGACACAGGAACGTGAGCGTTCGATGGGTACCTAGGCACGACGAATATACTAGGAAACGAACCTGCAGACCGCCTTGCCATTGCAGGAGCGAAGCTACCAATACTAGTGCTCCCCAATAACGGCAATAACCTTGTCAACTCATCCTCTCATGGAAGAAATGGCGAATCCAGAGGCGGATATGGAAAAGGCCTTCCACGACTGGTGGTAGATAGAAAGCATCCCCCCTCCCGGTTGTTGACAGTAATATGCGCCGGATTCAACTCATCAGGATTAGTGTCCCCAGTCCTCTAGGGAATCCGATCGAACACAATGTCCCGTCTCCCCCCCACAGATAGCCGTTCCTTATCCCCGTAGACGAAGATCGATGACCTCGTCGGTGATGCACAGTGCAGGCTGATGCGGCGCGGCCGTGGCCACGGATCAGTTGGGATGACGCTCTGTAGGGGGTACAGACACGTCCAGCGAGCCCCTGTACTTGGATGGCACCCTCCAGTCGCCCATCTGTCGAGAGAGTAGAGTGCTCCGAGTCCTCGTGCGTCAGGGCTTGTCGCGGACGGCCCTCTCCTGGAGCGGGCCAGTCGACGTCGACGCTGCTGCACCTGTCCAGTTCGCCTGCCAGGAGGGCGAGGTGGAGATGGCGAAAGCCCAGGGGGGGCGGGGGGCGCCAAACAACGTGAAGCGTGTCAGGGCGTATCGAAAGGCGTCAGTGTCAGTTCCAGACGTCGACACCTCATCACCCGCTCGACGTCAGCTGTCGGTTCTCGCAGGTTCCCCTCATTCCCAATCCCCGGCAGAATAGGTGGCAGAGGTGCCAACCCCTTCCGAGACGGGACAGAAGCATCACTTGCATCTTGAGAACAGGATGGAGATATGTCTAGGTGGGCCAGAGGAGTATCTCGATGACGGTTCCGGGGACCAGAGATGAAGGGCACACAGCAAGAAGAATGGCAGTTTTCGAGCTAAGGGCAGGGATGGCACACGCGAGCGCTTGCATGCACTGCCGTCTGCGTGGTGTGATGCAGAGGAGAAGGTGCCAGTTGGCAGTGATGGTGAGAACCTGATATATATCTAGGTGGCTAATAGTAGCAATGACCGAAGCAGAGTGACGGGATGGAATGGGTTGATAGTAAGGAACAGAGACCCGTGGCGAAGAACGGAGAAAAGAATTGGAATAGCAACGCTGAGGATGAATCATTCCCGCAGTGGTTTTCAGGCAATCTCCACATCGAATCCGAAAGACTTGATGTCCTCGAGCAGACGCTCCATCGGCGTCGCGTATGAAACGTCGGTGCTGGGCGTTTGGCCCTCGAGGCCGCCCACAAGCAATCCGCAGGCCCGACTTCTCAGGTCCCAAATGCATGCACCAGAGTCCCCATCTGCCGAGAAGAAGTCGCGGCCAGGACCACGAAACTTTGTGCCGATGATACACATCTCATGTGACTCGGCGCTGACCCAGGGCAAGGGGTTGCGAAGGACTGAACGCACCTCGTTGACCATGCCTGTCCTGAGCCCAGATTGCTGCCCACACATCACGACAAAGTGTGCGGGCGCGCCGGCTGATACGTAATCCACCGACGGCCGCTGAAGCTCCTTCTCAGGGCAGACACCGACGATGCGAGCCGTGGCTCCACCGTCCTCCTCGGCGACCAGGTACTGTCTCAGCGGGAGGTCCCGGGGTGCGGTTTCGCGGCTCATCCTATCTTGTATGGTCACGGCTCTGTCGAGCCCAAGAAAGACGCGACTCTGAAGGTTCACGAGGGCAGTCGTATGCCTAGCGGGATCGAGCTCTATAAGAGCCCAATCCCGGAGCCACTTCCTACCAGAGGGGGTCGTCGCAATATCGAGCGCGGGTGAGGAGGCGACACTTCCGACTACACGATCGCCGATATCGGTGAGCGCGTCTAGCTTGCTCTCGATGCGGGCCCATAGAGTGTCATCGGGGCGTGCCTGGACGCCTCGGAGAAAAGTTTGGTGGTCCGTGAAGGTTCCCTCGGGCGGCTGAATGACCTCGATCCGGGGCTCGGCACCGCTGAACCTGTATTCGTTGATCGAGGACTGGTCAATGACAACGTGTCGACAGGTAAGGGCGAAGACTCTTCCACTTCTTCTACACTTTAGGTATAGCCCTTTCGTGCCTTCGTAGTCTGGTCTTTGACGGCTCTCGATGGATACCCCCAGGAGCTCAGAAAGGGATATGCCGACATGTTCGGCATAACTCCGAGCCGTGGAAGGGTCCAGGGGCCAAGGGTGCAGCTTCGGCGGGGACGTGGGTGCGCCATCCACGAGATGGGAAAAAGTTGACTCCTTGACGTCGACGTCGACGTCCCACAATCCACGGGCACGCAGCTTCTCGACGCAAGCAGTCACAGCCTGGTAGGCGACAGTCCACGCTGTAGACGCCGGCTCTACCGAGACGAAGACTGTCACCGTTCTCCGAGGATTTGGCTCTGGGCCGTATTCTACGTATCCGATCCGGAGGACATCGATGGCCACCCATGCGATATCCTCTAGGCACTTCATGTTGGAGTCACGACAGGGTCAGGAGGCTTGCTTACCTATGATGGAGAAACACGAGCAAAAAAACTCACTCGTAACAGAATAAGTGCGCAGTCAAGGTCTTATTCTCCTGACGATGATCAAGCTACGTTTTCTCTCAAGCCCCCTCCCCACCTGTCGATTCTCTTATAAGCTCCATCCCTTCTCTCCATATTTCCATCCACAGTCCTATCTCCATTGACCCTTCCTCTCCTTCTCACGAATTGTCTCATCACGTGTCCAATCGGATGGACGGTGGTGAGGAAGGAGCTTGTACTCATCCAGGCAGAAGGCTGATGTGGGAACAGTTCCTACCTTGATGGTAATTCGTGGCCAAGCTAAGTGTCCATTCATCTCTCATCCTCTTACTTCCTCGTACGAACTTCCTCCTTCATTATACGTCTGGCTCGCCCCCTCTATGCCTTGGTGACGTCAGGTTTCCTTGGATGTAAGTCCGTAGTGGCTTCGTAGTGGCTTCTTAGTGAAAGTATGTGTGCAGGAGAATGAGGGGTTCATGTGTGGCTCACGTGTGACTCATAGAGATTCATCGAGTCCATTGTGACGTTAGGGTCAACTCTGAGCTACAGGGTAGACAGAGATGATGTCGTTTTATGTTGGCGAGACAATTAGGATGTCGTACTAAGCAATAAGGCAGTTACAGTCGTAGGTGCTACTACTAAAAGGAACTAGAGTTTTAGAAGAAGCGTTAACTATATTATTAATAGCTAGGTAAGGAGCGACTAGACTATAGAAATAAGGTTAACTATATATGTGACGGTTGGTACGACTCTAGGCTACAGGGTAGTCAGAGAAGTGTCGGTTTTATGTTAGCGAGGCCGTTAGGGCGTCTAACTAAGCAATAAGGCAGTTATAGTCGTAGGTGCTTGTTCTTAAGGAACTAGTTCTAATAGAAGCGTTAACTATTATATTGATAGCTAGGTAAAGAGTGACTAGGCTATAAAAATAAGGTTGACTATATACTAGGCGATTATTAAATAAATGTAATAATCGCGGGAGGTAATTATTGCGATCGCTAGGTGATTAAGGTGATCGTTAGGTTAGTGATCGCTGCGATCGCTAAGTGATCAAGGTAATCGCTTATATTGTGTGTAAGTGGAAATGATAGTGATAAGTAAGAAAAAATGTAGGGTGCACGTGAAGGTCGCATAACGGGCCGTAACATTTGATCGCCTAGCGATCGTAGCGATCACCCCTTGCGATCATTACGCCCACTTAATGATCGCCTAGTATATAGTCAACCTCATTTCTATAGCCTAGTCACTCTTTACCTAGCTATTAATATAATAGTCAACGCTTCTATTAGAACTAGTTCCCTAAGAATAAGCACCTACGACTATAACTGCCTTATTGCTTAGTTAGACGCCCTAACGGCCTCGCTAATATAAAACCGACACTTCTCTAACTACCCTATAGCATAGAGTTATACTAACCGTTATATATTAATAGCTCTTATTTAGACCGTTACTATATTAAATACTAAGCAATATCCGACACTATATCTTCTACTATACCTACGTCCTCTAATGTTAGAAATTATAATAATAATACCTAAAGGGATCTAGGTAAAACCCTTAAACTTAAGAGCCCTAGACCTTTTAATAGTACTAAAGGAGAACTCTAAGGATTTATTACGTAACTTAAAACCTATTATAGGTTCTTTCCTAATAAACTTAGGTTTACCTATAATAAGGTCCTATACGTAGGAACTTGCCTAGAAGGACTAGCACTCTTATAGTTTGAACTAATTCTATAAGATTTCCTTAAGAAAACTAGCGATAATCGAGATAATGAAACTAAGACTATCTTTACTACCTTTAAGGGATTTAAGGAAGCTCTTAAGGACGCTTTTAGCAATATAGACGTCACTAGGGACGCTATATAGAAGATATAGTCTCTTAAATAGCGAGGATCTACCGCCGACTACGCTACTATTTTTCAATAGATCGCTCTTAAGACTAAATAGGATAACGAACCCCTTATAAGTATCTTTTATTAAGGACTTAAGGAGGAAGTTAAGGACGAACTCTATAAGGAAAACACTCCTAATAGCCTCTTTAAGTATATCGCTATAGCTATTAGGATCGATACTTATTAATATAAACGACGAAAAGAACGTTAAAATAAGAATCGTAATTAAGGACTAGTCTACATTAATTAAGGAAACCACTATAATAACTAAGCTAACTAAGGGAGACTATAACGCTACGCGAGTACCTCTTAAAGCGGAATAACCTATACTAGACCTATAGAACTAGATACGATACGAGATAAATTAAAGGAGACTTATTATAACTATAGAAAAAAGGGACACTACGCCTAAGAGTGTCGATAGAAGAAAAAGGAATAGAAACCTATATAGGAAAGGAAATACCTTAATACCCTTACTAACTAAGCACGAAGTGGTAACGACACTACTACTAAAAAATATAAACTCCTCTTATAGATAGTATGCTATAACGATAGTTATATAATCTATATAAGCGATAAAGATAGAAGTAGATAGTACCCGCGAAAGCTAAGAGGAAAGCGAGCCCTCGCTATAATAGAAAGACGACCCGTTTAACGTAAAGACGCTACCTTAAATAAAGTAACTATTAAGAATAAACCTTAAGAATAGTCTATAATTGAAGAATTCGCTAACTATTCTATCTCTAACTCGATAGGAATAAGTAAGGCTAAATAGTTCGAATAGGATGCTAATAGTCTAATAGAAGAAATCGAACTACTAGTCTAGACTAGTAAAGAAAGAATAGGTAATTAAATTTTACGATAAATCAATAAACTCTATAAACACTATATCCGTAATAATAAAAGCACGATAGAAAGCCGAGTATTATATAAGATTAGTAAGATTTTCTAGACTACCGACCCCTATACCCTCGAAGGAATAAGAACTAAGGGATAGGACGAAATAAAGTAATAATATATAAGGGATCGATACCTACTAAACCGCATTTAAGAAATTAAAGACTCCCTAATAGAGGGACTAGGAGTTACTAATAACGATAGAGCACCCGCTTACGTTTAAAATAGATAGATTAATCGACGAATAAACTCGTTTTATAAACACTATATCGAGAAGGATAGACTATATAACTATATTATCTAAGAACAACTCGTCTAAGTCTTCCGATAAACGAACCCCTACACCCTCCTAGGTAATAGAAGAAGTAAGTAGAATAGACTATAACTCCGCTATAGTAAGGATATATACCTATAAAATAATAATAACCTTATTATATAATGCGAAGAAACCTATATAGATAACTACTAAGGATGCTAGTACTATAAGGAAGAAAAAGAGTTCGACTAGCGAATAATATAAATAAAGTAAGAAAGTGCTAATATTACTATATAAACTAACGATAAAAACTATAATAGTATCTAGGAAAACGATAAACGTTATCTATAATAGGGCTATAGTATAACTAGGAATACCTAATAACCCTTGGCGCCGACTAGGCAATTAGAGACCTAAAGACGGTATTAGAAGTCTAGATCTAGGGATATCGTATATAAGCACTATTAGATAGTAGTGCGATAGGCAACTATATTTCCCTAGCGATAGTTAACTAACATTAGCTACTATAGAATTAGAAAATCGAACTATACGAGCTTTTTAATATCGAAGGAGGAATATTTAACTATAATAATAGGAAGGTAGATAAAGAGACCGATTAACTCTTTATAACTACCTAAGGACATTATAATATAGTTATTTTCGATATAATAGACTTATCTAGGTATAATCTAATTTTAGGTTACCTATAGTTAGTGGAAAGCAACCCTATAATTAACTAGCGTACTAGCTAGCTACGGTAGGAAAAGGATACTAAAGCGCGATAGTATTATAAGAGATTAGAAAAGACGAAATTTTATAGTAACTTAGCTAATAAAGAGGATCTAAGAGTAGACTATAAGCGAGATACTTTAGTAATAACGTTAAAAGTAATAATAATAGCTATAGTAAGAACTAATATAGATTACTAATCTAGAATACGATATAAATAAAACATAAAATATAATAAATAGTTACGAAAAATAATAGGACTTATCGTACGATACTTAAATAAAGTTAACTAATAACTTAAAGAATAAAGTTAAGAAGATAGTAAGCCTAAGTAGTCTAACGATAGACTCGTAAACATCTTATAAGAATACTAGAAGTACGATAAACTATTTAAAGAGGAACTGGAAACTAGATTACCGCTATATATATAATAGGACTACGAGATTTACCTAAAAAACGGGACTATAATTAAGTTCTATAAACTCTATAACCTTAATAAGAAGTAACTTAAAACACTACGTAAATATATTAATAATATACTATATAAAGGCTATATTCGAACGTCTAAATCGGAAGTAAGATACCCTATTATATTTATTCTAAAGAAGAATAGAAAACTATAACTAGTTATAGATTATAGATAGCTTAACGAAATTACTATTAAAGATTATATACTATTACTACTTATTATAGAACTATAAGACCGACTTTATAGTAAGAGGTTCTTTATAGCTCTTAACCTAAAGGGAGTATATAATCTTATCTAAATTAAAAAAGGAGATAAATAGAAAACCGCTTTTCGTATAAAATTTAGACTATTTAAGTACTTAGTAATGCCCTTTAGACTTACTAATACTCCTACTACTTTTTAAAGAATAATTAATAACGTACTATAAGAGTACCTTAATATATTTATTATAGCTTACCTAGACGATATCCTAATCTTCTTAGATAACCTTAAAGAATATAAAGAATATATCTATAAGGTACTTTAAACGCTATAAGATATAAAACTCCTTATTAAACTAAAAAAATGTTATTTCTACGTCTAGGAAGTAGAGTTCTTAAGATATATTATTATATATAACGAAATTAAAATAGACCTTAAGAAGATCGAGTTAGTATACGACTAGCTAATACTAAAAAACGTTAAAGATATTTAGTCCTTTACTAG